ACTGCTGAGTCCATACACACACACACACACACACACACAGACTGCTGAGTCCATACACACACACACACACAGACTGCTGAGTCCATACACACACACAAGCTTCCTCACTAGCAGACAGACACACACACACCCCTGAGCATATCCAGTCTACCTGTTGCTGGGGGTCAGACTGCTTAACGGCAGGGGTGGGGCTTATGTGCAGGAGGTGGGGCTTTGTTTGTGGGCAGGGCCTGTGCTGGGGAGCCTGTCTGTGCTCTCTCCGGCCACAGACAGCCCCCAGCACCGCTCCAGCTGAGCTCCTCTGCCCTGCATTCCCTCCCCCAGGCTGTTACACAATGTCACACACTCACAGACTGTTACAGCCCGAGGGAATAGAATGGAAGAACATGGCCAGCAAGTTGCTGGCATTTGGGGGGCACAGCATGATGTAGGGGGGGCCATGGCCCCCTATGCGCCCCCCGCCCCCATCCCCAGCGACGCCACTCCTTAGCAAAGAAATATTACTTTGTTCAGTTCAGAGCTTCTAATAAAGTATGTAAGGACTGATTAATAACAGTCCTAAAAACTAACCAAATAGAATATCGGGGACTGCAGACTAGGAATAGTGAACCAACTTCGCTTATTAAACTGCATCTTATCATATTATAATAATATATAATCCTGATGAGTGATTAAAGGGACACTACAGGCACCCACTCCACATTAAAGGACCACTATAGGCACCCAGACCACTTCAGCTTAATGAAGTGGTCTGGGTGCCAGATCCAGCTAGGATTAACGCTTTTTTTAATTATAAACATAGCAGTTTCAGAGAAACTGCTATGTTTATAAATGGGTTAATCCTGCCTCCAGTGGAGAAGACGTATGAACATTCCTATGAACTGGCTGAATGCACGTGCGGCTCCTGCTGCGCATGCGCAATCAGCCAAAGTCGCTGAGGAGGAGGAGGAGAGCTCCCCGCCCGGCGCTGGAGAAAGGTAAGATTTTAACCCCTTCCTCTCCCCAGAGCCTGGCGGGAGGGGGTCCCTGAGGATAGGGGCACCCTCCGGGCACTATAGTGGTCGTTTAAAGTGCTCTTATGGCCACTAAAGGCGCTTCCTGCAGTTTAACTCTGTGAAACAACACTGGATATCCTCAAACGTTGCATCCATCGAGTCAGTGCTTTCCAAGGGGGAAGACGTAATGCACTTGCACAGGTCTAATAAACCTGTGATCCATTGTGAGTTCTAGAGCAGTTAGAACACAATGGGTCACTGATTCACTAGATCTGTATTGTAATTTTGTTTATTTAAATGAGCCGCACGCCAAGTACTTCTAGCAATGAAAAATGTCCAATGAAGCAATTCTATATTCGGTATGGGTTCCCCCCATTGGCTGGTGGAGGAGGTGTGCAAACCAGCACCAAAGGATGGGGCAATCAGGGGAGTATTGCAAGGGTTACTCATGGATCTATCTTTGTGTAAAATCTGCTCCTTTTTAACATTTGTTGTCTGCATACAGTGTTTACGGTTATTACAAAGGATTTATATTTGTTATAACATGAAATTGAGCATTGATATATTACTACTACTATGCACTTTCTGAATCCTTCACCTTTATATTGAAAATTAACAAAGTCTTTAGCTGAGCTTTTAGGGTCACTTTTTCTGATACTAATTTTGGAATTACAAATTGTGAATAATTGACTGCTTTTCTAGGCTTCTGATATCTCGTTTGTGGAGAAGCTCACAAGTGGCTGCAAATCTAATCCTTGCTTTGAGCGAGCTCGTGGAAAGGATCCGGGGTTTGTCATTCATCACTATGCAGGAAAGGTGTGCGCAGTTTTTTTTCTACTAATTGGAACATTTAAATTGTGTATATACTGTGACGTCCCGCCTGGCACCCCAACTGGGTGCCTCCGCCAATCACTGCTCCCTAGCAACTTCGAGTACTCCTAAACACTCCACCAGGCACCATAACCATCATAAACCCCACAGCCAGCGTTACAGCTTGGTTGGGGTCTTTCACCCACCCTGGAGCCAGCTTCCCGTGGGTAGACCTCTCCAAATCCAGAGAGTAAAGCAGGAGAGCTAGTGATTATAATCCAAGGGAGTATGAGTATAGCAATCCCCAGAGTGAATATAGCCTTTCCCTCCACACATGAGGCGAGGCTCTATGTTGAGGGCGAAGAGGAACTGTTTAATCGCAGCCACAACTGGCCTTATACGCAAGTCTACATGCAAGGGTTTTTTCCATAACTAACAGTGGGCATTCCCCACTGGACCTGAGAGGGGACTGTGACAAAGTACGCACTGTAATTGTATTGGCTCTCAGGTCCAGGACACTCCCACACAAAACAGGATAATCCCTCATGAGATAATTGAGTCAGGAACTGTACCAAACTCAATTATCTCCAGGTACAGAAAACATAAATTTTAACAATATCCTGAAAGTACCCCCAAAATACATGGAAACCCCACAAATGTCACATTCCCTGATAGTCCTGATCTGGGGGACCAACATATCCAAAAATCACCCAGATCGATTCAAGGGTTCGGGATTTCCATGGAGCTCATAATTTTGACTGACCATTCACATGGTCCTATGCCCAAAACAGTTCCAGGGAATAGGGTTAACGGTTGGTCTCTCTTTCTGGAATGCAAAAGTACATAAATCACATTAGTTTTTAAAGGGCCCATAGTCTTTTGGCAAGAGTCTGGTCAGTAGGCCCCTCAAAGAGCCTGTGGCGAGGTTACTTTCGCCACATATACGTAGGGAATAATAAATAATGCTTGTAAATGGTGTGCGGGGTAAAGGTAAAAAGACCCAAATTAGAAATGGGGAAAGTGGATTGATAGGGTTTGTTGTATTTTTATTCGGTTTATTACCAGTTAATGTTACAATGTTGCAAACACCTTATTGTCTCTTGATCCCGTGTCTGACTTATTTCTCCATTCCTTCTCTAATCTGTTTTCATTCTTCTTGTGTGACCAGCTATTTTATCATCACTTTTTATGATTTCATTATTTCTCCACTCTTCTTTTTTTTCCTCCATCATTCCCTCTTTTCCTTTGTGAATACTTTCTTCCCTTCTCTGTTTGCAATCTGTTGTCTTGTGTCTCCATCTGTATTCATCCTTCTCTATCTAGTTTTTCATCACTATCATCCCATTAACCTCCACAGGTTCACTATACAGCTGTTGGGTTTCTTGAAAAGAATCGAGATACACTCCCCATGAATGTCCAAAGTCTCTTCATGAACAGTGTGATCTCTTTGCTAAGTGTCCTTTTCACAGGTACCGATATATATTTTCTGAATTTTGGGTGATCAGCGATTTGTCTATAACCATGTGAATGAATCACAAAACAAATGAAATGAGCAATGAATGAGCCGTTTAATTTGTTCTGTGAAATGGAGTGTTTACCTTGGTGGTAAGAGATGATGTGGCAGCTGCCCAGGACATGCTAGCCTATGAGGGTGATTATGACCATTCTATTAGATTAACATAGTCTCCCTTATGCCGCTACTTGCCAAGCCGTGGCTGGTGGTAACTAAACAGCTGTTAATATTGCTAGTACATAATAACTAATTGGACTTTATTTTGTCTTTGTTGCAGCCAGTATTTCCAGAACTGGAACCCTGACACCCATGCAGAGAGCCAAGGTCAATGAATTAACATTTAATATTTTTCACCTTTTTATTCTATTGGTGCCGCTATCTTGTGCTTTGTCCCTTTTGCCACATTGTTCTTGCTTTTGCCTGTTTCTTCCTGCACTCATCTATGCTCTACCATTTTTTCTCAATCCCTTCAGCCGTATTCCTGGGATGGCAATACCACGTCTCACTTTTCTCTTCTGCCTGATCTCCATCACTGTCTGGTCCCTTCTGACTCCCCCAATCTTCATGTCCATTTTACATGTTTTTAAAGTCCTAATTTAGATGAAGCATATATAATCTGACACCAAATCTGATACGTTAGAATAATCGAATGTGAAATGTTACAGGATAGGCGGAATGATCTGGGAACACACAACCAACAATGTGAAAAGGCCAGAAAGAAGCACGTGGCTTTTCGTCACACAAAATCTTAGAAATGGCAAAATGCCTGAAAGATGCAAGAATAGTCTAGAGCAGGCCGACATCAAAGCAGAACAGAGAATCCCCAATCTGGTTAGACAAGCCATTCTCAGGATAACAGAAATTAGACCAGGCTAGGCGTCAGAAACCAAAAATAAACTGAATAAGTGCCCTCCAAGGTGATTAAAGACTACGCCAGGACACGTGTTAAAACGTGATGCAGGTTTAAGTAGAGGATAAGGAGATCGTATTGGAGAAAATCAATTGAGTGACACTAGAAGGTGCACACAGCCAATGAATTGATGTAAAACACATGTAATAAGTATAAGAGTGACTTGTGTTAGACAAGACCACAAACATGACGCCAGGGGTCACAAAGTGTGCCATGCCAGGAAGGAGCAGGAATGAAGACTAGGAGGGCAGAAGAGAGGAAACCTTCAGTATCAGCCATAGTTTGAGTTTTCTCATATTCTAACCAAAGAGACAAATCTCTATTAATGGCAGTCAATTTATTTATTGAAATAGTGGGAAACAAATTGACTTCCAAACCTCAGCCATGTGTCTTCTAGCAGTCAATAGTATTTTAATAACAAATTTATTTTAATTCCGGGACACTATAGTCACCAAAACAACTTCATCTTAATCGGTTTTTCAGATTCACCTTTATTATCACTGTGCAATGGACATACAAAGACAATGAAATACATTGGCCTCTGGTCAGAATTGAGGTCATTTATTTATTTTAATAATTTTTTTTTTTTATTCTTTATTTTTTGAGTGCATAGAGAAAAAGCAGTGACAAATGCGTTTGTCGTGCCCCAACAGCATGTACTCACGATTTAACAGTTAAGAGCGATTAACTAAGGTATGGCATGGGAATACAATGCACATTTTTTATATAAATTATGACATCAAGGCTAGTTCTGAGCATAGGTAGTTGTAACGGAACTCCCCGTACTCCAACAGAGTACGTTCCGTTGACGGAGGCTTCCTAGCCTGCGCCGAGGATCACAAGCACCGCACCGGACACCACAACCACCGTAGCTTAACTGGGGTCTAGCAGTCTTCTGTCCACCCTGGATCAGCTTCTGTCCTCCAGCACCGTGTGGGGAAGACCTCTCCTTCAGGAGAGCGTATCAGGAACAAGCTCTTAAAAGAGCTAAGTGATTAAAGCTCAAGGGAGTATGCAGAGCATAGCAATCCCCAGTGTGATTATAGCTGTCCCCTCCAATCACGAGACAAGACTACGTGTTGAGCTTCAAGAAGAACTGACTGTATTGGCACATACAGCCTCTTTTATTCACATTCTACAAACATAGTACTGCCCACAGGGTTTTGAAGAACAACCAATCAACACATTACAACACAGCTGTGACGAGACCAATCTCGCCACATTGCATTGGAGAAGCCTGGTTGCTCGCCTGCTGCCTTTGGACTATGGCCCCCTTTTAAAAGACTTTATTTTTGCCTGCAGAAAAGCTGTATTCGTGCTTTTCTGCCTGGGGTTCAGTAGATTTGTTTGAATGTGTTATACCCCAGATAGGAATCCCATGGAGCCCATTAGTATGAAACTGACTGTAAAGACTTTGGCTCCATGGCGATTAAACTGTATTTGTGTGGTCCGAGCGCCATTCACTTAATAATGTGCGCTCAGACCTGAGCTATCTGGGGATATGTGAAATGTCTGTGTGTTATGTGTAAAATGTGACTTTATGTATTTTAAAGTGTTTTGTGTCTTTTTGCAACCATGTGCTTAATGGAGTCTTGTGTCTGTCCTGGGAGATAATTGAATTACTTATCTCCAGGATAGAAGACTCTGAAACTGGTTTGGGCCAGAAAGCCATGCTTCATTTAGTCACAAAGGACTTTCCCTTAACTTTTGAACCCCTGGTCTGATACATGCCATTTTTTAATATGTTGTTCCCCTGAATGGATTGATTGTGAATATGTAATTTTATGTGAATGTGATGTATGGTTTTAGAGTTATGAAAGTTGGGTAGAAAGTATGTTTTAACTGTATGTGTAATTGAGTTTCCTCTCAGGATAAGGGGAGGGAATATGTGGGATGTAACTGTGATGTGATTGGTTGTTTTATACCTCCCTGTGGGCGGTCCTGTATTTGACAAGACTGTAATAAAAACCAGGCTGGGTGTGCCAGCACCTCAGACCACTGCTTGACCCTCAACACGGAGCCTTGTCTCGTTCTTGGGGGGATTCACTGTATGCTGTTAGAGACTGATTGCCAGGAGTGTAAGCTGCTTGGGAGCTTTTCCTGTTCGTCTGCTAGCAGCTATTTGGGAGGTTCCAGTTCGGGAGTTGGAGTGCTATTTTGTATCCAGTTTGGGAGTTTGATGTTCTGCAGTAGCTGTGCCTGTATCTCTGGAAAGGGGGCCGATCGCCTAAACGGTTTTTACCCCTTGTGTGCAAAACGGTCCGTTACAACAGCTAACACTCCCATTCATTACATCAGTTATCCACCCCTCTGCCTGTGATAAAATTATCTCAACACAATAGACTAACTTAATTATCACAGGCAGGAAAATACAGTATTATAAAACATATCAAAGAGACCCCAAAACCTGCAATAACCCTGTAAATATATCCTTGGAACCGGGGGATCTGGGCGAACCACATATCCAAAATTTACCCAGATCCGTTCAGTAGTTTGCAAGATACGGTTTAATGCAGATTCTGCAGAACATATACAGGCTATATGAAAAATAATTACTGTTAAATGTGTCCCCTGTAATGTAGTTTAAAACTGCTGCACGATGTCTTTGTGCACCAAATACCGGCGAGATGGCACCGTGTAGAAAAGTCAAAACAGTGTCTGTGAGTTAAAATGGCTGCCTTCCATTGTTCTCACCATGTGCTTCATCCATTGTTCTCACCATGTGCCTCTGATACATGAAATGGTGGCCACCCAGTAACTCCACAGTTTGTCTGGTAGTCTATACAGCCGGACCAACAGATGAAACACATGGGGAACAGTGCGACAAATGAAGGGAATCATAAAAAATATGGACAATAGTCATATTTGTGTACAATCTCCAGTTTTGTCTCAGGGCCCAAATAGTGTTTTCAAATGCCATATATCCCAGGGCCATAGTCAGAAGGTAGGAGGCTGGCAATCAGTCCTCTCCAATGCCCAGTGGCAAATGGCAGTTTGTCACACATGTGAAATAGTTGTTTGGGTTCGCGGGAAAGTGAGGTTATGAGGGTATTGAAGTAATTTACTTTTGCAGATGAAAGAGCCAAGCTGTATCAGCGCAGCATAAATTTATAGTGGAGAAAGTCAGATGCACAGTGAAACTTTCTCCAGCAGCGTTCAGCAGTTCTGGAGGATTTGTGGAGGTATCGAGTCAGCTTGGTGTGCCAGGGTTGTTGTTGGGGGACCTGCTGCATTTAAATGTAGGAGGTGTTATGATGTCTAGTTGAAAGAAGAGGGTGGAATTGTAGGAGGAGTTTGCAGAGCTAGTGCATGTGAGGTTTGAGATAGTTAAAAGGAGAGTTTGGAGATTAGTGGAGAAATGCTCAAGGTCAAGACATTGGAGGTTTCTGTGAGATTGATGTTCAGATGGTGGTGTCAATTGGGTCTTAGGTATGCCAATGTCAAAAGTCAGCAGATGGTGGTCAGATAGAGGAAAAGGAATATTGGAGAGATTAGAGGCGATACAGAGATTGGTGAAGGTGAGATCAAGAGTGTTTCCCGCTGTATGGGTTGCTAAATTTGACCATTTATAAAGCCCCGCTCTCATTGCAGTACGTCCTATATAAAGCATCGCTCTCATTGCACTACATCCTATATAAAGCCCCTGCTCTAATTGTGCTACACCACTGCTATGTTTATGAAAAAAAGGGTTAACCCTAGCTGGACCTGGCACCCAGACCACTTCATTAAGCTGAAGTGGTCTGGGTGCCTAGAGTTGTCCTTTAATAAACCTAACTGAACCTACTCTAACTGCTCCCTCTCCCCATTAAAGTAATCGACTTACCTGTTTTTATATTTTAGGTTCAGGTCGCACAGGAGAGATTTCCCTCTCGGAAAATGTCTGTGGGAGCTCAATTTCGGGTATGAGTATTTCCTTTTTCACTGAAGTATATTTTATACATGTTATTTACTTTTCAACTGTCCGTATTTACATGCTCTTCAGTTTGTCATTTTACATTTCTTTGCTAATGAAATTTACATTCATATTCCCCATTCCTCTGCTCTATTCCTCTGCTCTGTGCTGTCTACTAGTCGTATTCTACATTTCTGGGGAAAAACATCCGGGGTGGGGCTCGATTGCTGAGATGGACACACACTAATTTGTAGCTCCTTCATTTTGATGCGCATATGACTTATAATTACCATTATTCACCCTGGAAACAGATCCATACCTTGCTTAGATTAGATCCACTCTTCGGACATTAGGTACCTGAATGGGAGCAATACAGCTCATATTTACGCCTGTCTGAGGGAATATCACTACCCATGTTTGTGGTGAAAGGGATCTCGCCACTGGTTCTTGGAGGGGACTGATTGCCAGCCTCATGCGTTGGGACTATGCCCCCTGGGATATTGTGCACTTTTAAAAACAGTATTGGGGCTTATGGACTTCTATTGGACTGTGTATGGCCCTTTAAGATCTGTATCTGGGCTTATTGAGACTTTTTGGGACAATGCCCATTTAAGACGGCATCGCCAGTGTCCCCAGACTGGTTTGGGACAATACCCCTTTAAGACTGTGTCCCCAGACATGTGCCCTCTTGGTTCAGTAAATGGGGCTTACTGAACCAAGTACCACACAGACGGACCACAAAGAAGTGGAAGTGTGCGGCTAATTTACCTCCCAGGCTGGGAGGCTGCTGTAGGTAAATTGGTGGCCGCCGTTCGTACGAACACGTGGTGGCGACCATTTTTATTCATTCGAACGCGGTCAGCGGTGTGTGCAGCCAAATCTATGGAATTAAAATCGTCTACCCATCTGTATGAATACCGCTGACCCTTACCTTCCCCTCCACTCATCTAAGTCCCGTTCGGCTATTTGAACACACAGCTACACTAAGCTATTTAAGTGAGTGGAGCGCTGAATGTTCACACTTACCCTTAATTAGGGTTAGATCTCAGGTATATATATGTACATGCAAATGAAACAGAGAAATACAACACAATATAGTTTAAATCCGTGAATGGAAGAAATATCGTGATAATATATCAATAATCAGACTCACATGGATTAGAGCCTCATAAAAGGACAGGCTCAAATCTCTTCAACATTAGTATCGTATGGAGACACTGCACCCTTTAACCGGAGTAGATTTCCTCAAAGAAAAAAGAGAAAAACAGGGGAAAGAAACCCCCTAGTGTACTATGTATATAACTAATAGTGCACAAACAGTGGTTATAGTAGTGCTCACCTGGTTCAGAGCCAATGAGATCCTGGCTCTAGATGATAGACTTGAGTGCCTTTAAAAGGGGGCACTTACCCCTCTTTAACATCAAGATAGGACCAAAGGCCAATTGGATATATATAAAAAATGGCTCTGAACCAGGTGAGCACTACTATAACCACTATTTGTGCACTACCTATTATATACATAGTACACTAGGGGGTTTCTTTCCCCTGTTTTTCTCTTTTTTTCTTTGAGGAAATCTACTCCCGTTAAAGGGTGCAGTGTCTCCATACGATACTAATGTTGAAGAGATTTGAGCCTGTCCTTTTATGAGGCTCTAATCCATGTGAGTCTGATTATTGATATATTATCACGATATTTCTTCCATTCACGGATTTACACTATATTGTGTTGTATTTCTCTGTTTCATTTGCATGTACATATATATACCTGAGATCTAACCCTAATTAAGGGTAAGTGTGAACATTCAGCGCTCCACTCACTTGACTAGTACGGTCTGGGTTTTTATCCACTCTATACTGGTCTCACTGTGTTTTACTTCTATATTTTAGTGGGGGATAGAGAGCACCCACTAGAGTGTGTAGCTGCTTTTATACCACTTTATTATTCCTATAAGCGCACTAAACACAGTAACCACCATAGTTTGAACACTAAGCTATTTGCACGATCGGTGCCCCGCATCCGTTCGCACATGCGAATGGGACTTAGTCATTTTTCAGTGCGAAATTGACTGACGCACAGCCCAAATCTATGGAACTGTTTTGGGCAGGAAAAGGTGCTTGCGGTCGGTCACAAAGGACTTCCGACTAACTTTTTAACCCCTGGAGGGATTTGTATGTTTTTTGAGAGTGTTCATATTTGAAGTATGCTGAGTAATATGTGCTTTTTATGGAGATTGGCTGTATAGTTTTAAAGTTACAGTACATGTGTAAAAAGTATGTTTTTCCTGCCGATGATAATTACATTAACCCATTGTGTACAGTAATTATATCACAGGCAGAGGGGAGGATTTTGTGGGAATGTTTTACTATATAATACTTGTTTGGTTGTTCTTCAAAACCCTGTGGGCAGTACTATTTGTGTAAAATGTGCATAAAAGAGTGTTTCATTAAAACTTGAGTTCTACTTCACCCTCAATTTGGAGTCCCGTATCTTATTGGGGGGCTCTGCTACAAGGGATTGCAATGCTCTGCATATTCCCTTGCTATAATCACTCCTAAGCTTGTTCCTGCTTCGCTCTGAAGAAAGAGAGGTTCAGCCTTCAGTGGTTGTGGTGTCTGTTAGAATGCTTGGAGCCCTCAGGAAGCGCTAGGAGCATCCTTCAACAGAGGTACCCAGTCCGGGGGCCAGGTGATCAGTTACAATGTTCTAGCAACCTAGTCCGGCTGACTGACTTATGTGAGAAGCTGTTATCTCCCGGCTTGAAAAGGGCTTAATATTGTGGTATCCTAACCATGGCCAGCCACCCTATCCACATGGACCAGTGGGGGTTATTCCAGTACCCACCAGGAAAGAATCTGTAGACGTTCAGAAGGCACTCAGCCTTTCTTCCACTCCGGCACTATGAGACCTTGTTACAAAATAAAGATCAGGAAGGAATCTAATCTCATACCCATCTCTTGTTCCTCTAAATCCCCCTTCAATACTGCCCTCTGGAACGCACGCTCTGTCTGCAATATAACTAAATCCACTGCTGTCCATGACTACTTCATCTCTCATTCAATAGATTTACTAGCCTTAACAGAAACCTGGCTCTTCCCTTCTGACACTGCCACCCCTGCATCTTTGTCCTTCGGTGGTCTCCAACTTACTCACACCCCAAGAAACTCTGAATGTAAAGGTGGTGGTGTTGGGTTTCTCCTCTCCCCTCACTGCTCTTTTAAACCTCTTCCCACCCCCCCTTCCCTCTCTTTCCCATCATTTGAAATACACTCAATTCGCCTTTTCAAACCTTTCGCTGCTAACATTGCTGTTATTTACCGTCCCCCTGGTTCCCCTCTTCTCTTCCTTGACCATTTTGCTGGCTGGCTACCCTATTTCCTCTCTTCTAACATCCCATCCCTAATTCTCGGGGACTTCAATATTCCTATAAACCCACCTTTGACCTCTGCAGCCAATAAACTACTTTCAATTACTTCCTCCCTCGGGCTATCACAGTGGGCAAATTCTCCCACCCATGTAGCTGGCAATACCCTTGACCTAATCTTCACTTATGCATGTACTGTATCTAATATCTGCAACACTCCTTATCCTCTCTCTGATCACCACCTCTTATCGTTTGCTCTCACGTACCCCCTCACCCAACAACCTCCGCCTAACCAGCCTCAACTCAGGAGGGACCTTAATTCTCTTGATCTCCAACAGTTGTCAGCTGACATTGATTCACAACTGCTATCCATCCCTTCCCTATCCTGTCCTTCACTGGCCATCTCCATATATAACTCTACTCTTACATCTGCCTTGAACACTGCAGCGCCACTCCAAACAAGCACCTCAAGGAGGACCCGCCCCCAACCATGGCATACTAAATCAACGCGCTACCTGCAAAGATGCTCCCGGTGTGCTGAACGCTCCTGGAGGAAGTCTCGCACCCAGTCAGACTTTCTCCATTATAGATTCATACTGTGTTCATACAGTGCAGCCCTTGCCCTTGCCAAACAGTCCTATTTTTCCTCTCTCATTAGTTCATGTTCCCGCAACCCCAGGCGTCTCTTTGACACCTTTAATTCTCTTCTTCGCCCCGCTGTGGCCACCCCCCAAACCAACCTTACTGCTGACAACTTTGCATGTTACTTCACTGACAAAATTGAACAGCTAAGGAAAGAATTCTCGCCTCCTTGCCTTTCTGTTTCTCAATCACACATTGATCATGCCTTTCCTACCCTTCAGACATTCTCCCCAGCCACTGACCAAGAGGTGGCTGCCCTTCTTTGCTCCTCTCGCCCCACCACTTGCCCGCTCGATCCTGTCCCATCTCACCTTATCAGATCTCTCTCCGCTTGTCTCGTGCCTTCTCTAACACACATCTTCAACTGCTCGCTCTCTTCTGGCATCGTCCCTGCTGACCTTAAGCATGCCACTGTAGTACCTATACTAAAAAAACCATCCCTTGACCCGTCCACCCCCTCTAACTACCGTCCCATATCCCTGCTCCCTTTTTCCTCAAAGCTTCTGGAAAGACTCGTCTTTACCCGTGTGTCTAATTTCCTCAATTCCAACTCTCTTCTTGACCCCCTTCAATCTGGCTTCCGCCCTCTCCACTCTACAGAGACTGCCCTTATCAAAGTTACTAACGACCTAATCGCAGCTAAATCCAAAGGCCACTACTCCATACTAATTCTTCTTGACCTCTCGGCGGCCTTTGACACCGTTGATCATGCTCTCCTTCTTCAAACTCTGCAATCGCTTGGTCTCTGTGACTCTGTCCTCTCGTGGTTTTCCTCTTATCTCTCCCAACGCTCATTCAGTGTCTCTTTTTCTAATGATACCTCCTCCCCTCGCCCTGTCTCGGTTGGAGTCCCCCAAGGCTCCGTCCTTGGTCCCCTTCTATTTTCTCTTTATACTGCCTCTCTTGGCAAACTTATCACCTCATTTGGTTTCCACTACCACCTGTACGCTGATGACACCCAGCTATATCTCTCCTCCCCGGACCTCTCCCCTGCTGTCCTGCAACGTGTCACTGCTTGCCTTTCTTCCATCTCTGACTGGATGTCCTCCCGCTTTCTGAAACTCAATCTCTCAAAAACTGAGCTCCTTGTCTTTCCTCCTCCTAATACTGATCCTCCTCTTTCGCTCTCCCTTCAAGTTTGTGGTACCAACATCAGCCCATCCTTGCAAGCGCGCTGTCTTGGCGTCATACTTGACTCTGGTCTCACCTTTGAGCCTCACATCCAGCATGTTGCCAAATCCTGTAGATTCCATCTCAAAAACATAGCCCGCATCCGCCCCTTTCTTGCACCAGATACTACCAAGGAGCTTGTCCATGCTCTAATAATTTCCCGCATGGATTATTGTAACCCTCTCCTGCTTGGTCTTCCCAAAAGCCGTACTGCACCCCTACAGTCTGTAATGAATGCTGCTGCTAGACTGATTTTCCTCTCTAGTCGGTTCTCTCACACCTCACCCCTCTGCCAGTCCTTACATTGGCTTCCTGTGTGCTATAGGAGTCAATTCAAGGCACTAACTCACACCTATAAAGCACTGAACAACTCTAGCCCCTCCTATATCTCCTCACTGATCCACAGGTATGTCCCTTCTCGGTCTCTCCGCTCTGCCCGTGACCACCTCCTGTCCGTTGTCCGCACCCGTACGGCCAACTCGCGCTTGCAGGACTTCTCGCGGGCGGCTCCCTTCCTATGGAATAGCCTGCCTACCGCCATCCGACTCTCCCCTAGTCTTGCATCTTTTAAGAAGTGCCTTAAAACCCATCTCTTTAGGAAAGCCTATGGCCTCCAAGACTAACCCCTACCTCACTTACCTGTCTCTTGCCCTCCCCTAAAGGGCAGCCCACCTTTTTTTTGATTGCACACTCCTGTCCTAATGTGTCTTACACCCCACCTCCTATAGAATGTAAGCTCGATTGAGCAGGGTACTCTTCAACCTATTGTTCCTGTAAGTTTATTTGTAATTGTCCTATTTATTGTTAAATCCCCTTTCATAATATTGTAAAGCACTACGGAATCTGTTGGCGCTATATAAATGGCAATAATAATAATAATAATAATAAAGATCATTTCAAGAAAATTACAAAGCCATTTGTGAAGCCTTTTGGGTTTTATCTACTCTCGTGAATCACAACTCACCTCAACCACTAACAGCCGCAGGTGGAGTTCCGGCAAGTCACCACCACATGCTCTATATGCTAAGTACCAAGATGGGAGATGTTCCTGTGTGCTGTTAACACTCTTGGAGTCCTCTCTGACATGGGAGTCTCATGGGACTTTGACCCGGGAGATAAAGGTTTGGTGGGCTGTTGGTACCGGTACTTAAGTTCTGTATTTCAAAGGAAAAAGCACTATACAATGGAGAACACTTGCACAATTAAAGCTTATACTTTTATTAATGTCTACATAGTTACATAGCTGAAAATAGACTTGCGTCCATCAAGTTCAGCCTTCCTCACATTTGTTTTTATTCCTTCTTAACCCCAGAATGGCAGTCAGATTTATCCTTGGATCAAGCAGTTATTACCCTACATTGAAAGATTATATCCTTGAATATTCTGTTTTTGCAAGTATGCATCTAGTAGCTGTCTACAAAAGTGAAGATTAAGAAAAGATTCAGTGTTACATGTTATGTAGTGGGAATTACTGAACATCAGTCTCTAATTGTCAGGATACTAGTTGATCCAGCACGCAGAACTGTATTACACCTAGAACTTACGGTAAGGCCTTACCAGGCCTTAGAATGGCCGGACTTAACGTACCAGAGAATAGTCAGAATACTTGCCGAGGTCAGGGACACAGAATGGGACACAACAATGAGGGAAAGCCAAAAGTCAAGGGTACCAGAATACAAGGAAGTCAAACAAAGCCAAAGTCAATCACCAGAAATAAACGCTCAGGAACACACTCTCGGACAACCACTAAGGGAAACCATGACAGGGCAATGAGGAAAGGCGAGAAAAGAGTTTAAATAAGTCTCCTTTAAATTCTGACCCCAGAACGTGCGTGCGCTAACATTGCGTGATGTCATACACACGTTGACGTCATCAATACCGTTGGTGGATGTGGGGTTATAAATTGGTATGGGTCGTCAATATGCTGCAGGAGTCAGACACACCGGCACAGGGCTGCTGACCAGCATCTCCACCAATGCCAAGAAGGTAGTTATCTGGAGAGACACCACAAGGTGAGGATGAACATGTGACACTAATGCTAATATGGAATGCCAGCCAGTACTCTCATCCTATTGCACAGGCTGTGTAACTGGATTCATATTTCCTATGACATGACTGTGATAGTGTGGTAACTGACTTGAAATACCAAATAAATCATTAGCGGAGCTTGGCTTCGGAGTGGAGCCGGACACATGCCTGAGCTCCTGACTTCTAGGCTGGTTTTGGAGGTATTTCCTCTACCACTGGGCATCCCAACACATCGACTGGCTCTGCTACAGTCCTGGGTTCCCGATGCTGCAGTTGGGAGCCTTGATTGAGCCTGTTCTCCACTGAAGCATGGGGTTTTACTGCCGTGTTCTACTGGGGACAATGCTGGGGATGGGCAGCCGATCGCCCTGCATACTGATCTGTTGTTTGGCTCTGCGGTGCTCGCTAAACTGTGCTTACACATTCATTTCCCTAATAGATACTTTAGCACTTTTTTGTGCCATTTAATGGATCATCTTTTAGCATTTTTTTGTGCTATTTAATGTGCTAGTTTGTTAGTGGCCTTTAATTGATTTGTGCCTTTATTCTGGCAATTTTCATGTTTTCTAAAAATCTAAAGTGCTCCCTCTTCACAGCAATCACTCTCCGTTCTCATGGAGAAGATGTATTTGTCCAGCCCTCACTTTATTCGATGCATCAAACCTAACAACAAAAAGGATCCGTTGGTTTTTGAGACAGAACTAGTCCTTGATCAGGTAAATCTAATTGGGATTCGATTTGAACAAACTCATATGCCAATGTTGGCTAAAACAGTGGGAGGAACAGGCTGAAAAAAGTTCACGTCTTAGATGTGATAGAGAGACATTAATTGAAGAAGCATGACCTTTTTATGTTAGACTATGGTAAGATGAATAGATAATTGTATGAAGAAATTCCAATGTGACCCATGTGATAAGTCGGGGTCTTGCATTTAGAAAATACACACTCCCTCTAGCTGGACAAGGAGATTAGATTGAGTTAAACACACATACACCTGACTCCAGCTTTAACCAGGTGGGATCGTACAAGGGAAACCACAGTCTCACTTTCATGTTACTTAAGCCTTGTTTGCTTACAGCTCCGATACAATGGCTTAATGGAGACTGTACGAATCCGCAGAGATGGCTTCTCTTGGAGGCCCTCCTTCCAGGAATTTGTTGGCCGGTAAGAATGTCTAAACTTTATAAAAAAAACTTTATAAAAAATAAAGAAAGGAAAACTTTTGGTAGCAGCAGTAGTGACAACTTAGTCTAGACAACTAAAATCATGTTATATGATGTAGGATTCACAGTCATCGAGGTGCCAGAGCCACGCAGTGCATAATAAACTAAATTAGTGGAAGGTTGTTAGAGTCTAAATCTAGGGTGTTAGCAGAACGCTAGTGACCATTACATAGTGATCTGGGTAGTAAAGAGATTCAACTCTATGTGGAAGGCTCTCAGAATGCAGATATAGGAAGTTAGTGGAAGTTGGTAGAAAGTTATCAGACTAAGATATAGGAAGTTAATGGAAGGTTATCAGACTAAGATATAGGAAGTTAATGGAAGGTTATCAGACTAAGATATAGGAAGTTAATGGGAGGTTATCAGACTACAGATTTAGGAAGTTAATGGGAGGTTATCAGACTAAGATATAGGAAGTTAATGGGAGGTTATCAGACTAAGATATAGGAAGTTAATGGGAGGTTATCAGACTACAGATATAGGAAGTTAATGGGAGGTTATCAGACTAAGATATAGGAAGTTAATGGGAGGTTATCAGAATACAGATATAGGAAGTTAATGAGAGGTTATCAGACTACAGATATAGTAAGTTAGTGGGAGGTTATCAGACTACAGATATAGGAAGTTAATGGAAGGTTATCAGGCTAAGATATAGGAAGTTAATGGAAGGTTATCAGACTAAGATATAGGAAGTTAATGGACGGTTATCAGAATACAGATATAGGAAGTTAATGGAAGGTTATCAGAATACAGATATAGTAAGTTAGTGGGAGGTTATCAGACTACAGATATAGAAAGTTAATGGGAGGTTATCAGAATACAGATATAGGAAGTTAATGGGAGGTTATCAGACTACAGATATAGGAAGTTAATGGGAGGTTATCAGACTACAGATATAGGAAGTTAATGGGAGGTTATCAGACTAAGATATAGGAAGTTAATGGAAGGTTATCAGAATACAGATATAGGAAGTTAATGGAAAGTTATCAGACTACAGATATAGGAAGTTAATGGGAGGTTATCAGAATACAGATATAGGAAGTTAATGGGAGGTTATCAGACTACAGATATAGGAAGTTAATGGGAGGTTATCAGACTAAGATATAGGAAGTTAATGGAAGGTTATCAGACTACAGATATAGGAAGTTAATGGGAGGTTATCAGACTACAGATATAGGAAGTTAATGGGAGGTTATCAGAATACAGATATAGGAAGTTAATTGGCGGTTATCAGAATACAGATATGGGAAGTTAATGGGAGGTTATCAGACTAAGATATGGGAAGTTAATGGGAGGTTATCAGACTAAGATATAGGAAGTTAATGGGAGGTTATCAGAATACAGATATAGGAAGTTAATGAGAGGTTATCAGACTACAGATATAGGAAGTTAATTGGCGGTTATCAGAATACAGATATAGGAAGTTAATGGGAGGTTATCAGACTAAGATATAGGAAGTTAATGGGAGGTTCTCAGACTACAGATATAGGAAGTTAATGGGAGGTTATCAGAATACAGATATAGGAAGTTAATGGGAGGTTATCAGAATACAGATATATGAAGTTAATTGGCGGTTATCAGAATACAGATATAGGAAGTTAATGGGAGGTTATCAGACTAAGATATAGGAAGTTAATGGGAGGTTATCAGAATACAGATATAGGAAGTTAATGAGAGGTTATCAGACTACAGATATAGGAAGTTAATTGGCGGTTATCAGAATACAGATATAGGAAGTTAATTGGAGGTTATCAGACTAAGATATAGCAAGTTAATGGGAGGTTATCAGACTACAGATATAGGAAGTTAATGGGAGGTTATCAGAATACAGATATAGGAAGTTAATGGGAGGTTATCAGACTAAGATATAGCAAGTTAATGGGAGGTTATCAGACTACAGATATAGGAAGTTAATGGGAGGTTATCAGAATACAGATATAGGAAGTTAATTGGCGGTTATCAGAATACAGATATAGGAAGTTAATTGGAGGTTATCAGACTACAGATATAGGAAGTTAATGGGAGGTTATCAGAATACATATATAGGAAGTTAATGGAAGGTTATCAGGCTAAGATATAGGAAGTTAATGGAAGGTTATCAGAATACAGATATAGTAAGTTAGTGGGAGGTTATCAGACTACAGATATAGAAAGTTAATGGGAGGTTATCAGAATACAGATATAGGAAGTTAATGGGAGGTTATCAGACTACAGATATTGGAAGTTAATGGGAGGTTATCAGACTACAGATATAGGAAGTTAATGGGAGGTTATCAGACTACAGATATAGGAAGTTAATGGGAGGTTATCAGACTACAGATATAGGAAGTTAATGGGAGGTTATCAGACTAAGATATAGGAAGTTAATGGAAGGTTATCAGAATACAGATATAGGAAGTTAATGGAAAGTTATCAGACTACAGATATAGGAAGTTAATGGGAGGTTATCAGAATACAGATATAGGAAGTTAATGGGAGGTTATCAGAATACAGATATAGGAAGTTAATGGGAGGTTATCAGACTACAGATATAGGAAGTTAATGGGAGGTTATCAGACTAAGATATAGGAAGTTAATGAAAGGTTATCAGAATACAGATATAGGAAGTTAATGGAAAGTTATCAGACTACAGATATAGGAAGTTAATGGGAGGTTATCAGAATACAGATATAGGAAGTTAATGGGAGGTTATCAGAATACAGATATAGGAAGTTAATTGGCGGTTATCAGAATACAGATATGGGAAGTTAATGGGAGGTTATCAGACTAAGATATAGGAAGTTAATGGGAGGTTCTCAGACTACAGATATAGGAAGTTAATGGGAGGTTATCAGACTACAGATATAGGAAGTTAATGGGAGGTTATCAGACTAAGATATAGGAAGTTAATGGAAGGTTATCAGAATACAGATATAGGAAGTTAATGGAAAGTTATCAGACTACAGATATAGGAAGTTAATGGGAGGTTATCAGAATACAGATATAGGAAGTTAATGGGAGGTTATCAGAATACATATATAGGAAGTTAATTTAAGGTTACCGGACTACTGATAGTGGGTACTTGGCAATGAGCATGCACATATATTAGTCTACTCTTTGCAACCTGAAAGCCCAGCTTGGTCACAAATAAATATAGGATGGGGTTGGTGTGTGCAACGCCTTAAGCTTGAAGCTGGTCCTGAAGGAATTAACAGAGGAGGCAAAGCAGTCGGCTGCTTGCAGACCAACTTCAAGGTTAAACTGGTTTTATGGTTAAGACCGTGCCAGACTCTCCTAGCCCCATAAAAACATAATTGAAGTAAGTAGTTCCTTTGATCACAATTTCAAATCTTTCCCTATCACTTTCAAATTCTCAAAACTTTTTTTTTTATTCAAAGATTCTTGTAAATCATTCCATCTCAGTCGGCGCTTCCATCTTTACCGGGCAGACAGGTCTCCTGTCTGCTTTCCTCTGGTTCACTTGGTCTGTTCCCATCTAGATGTTAAATCAGCCTGGTCATGGTTTGGTTTGGGGTTTTTTTCTTTCAGTTTTAATTTTCTTATGCCCATTGGAGGGTTGAAAGAAGTATTAACCTATATTTATATTTAGAATGGTTTCTCCTTTGCACCTGGATACCTCTGTCCATGAAACCTGCAGTTTGCATTCAGTGGAAGAGATTTTACTGATGGGTTGTTGGGCAATCTGATAACTGAAATAGAAGCTTGCTTTAAGGTTAAACCCATTGTCCTGTTTTGTCAATATGGCTGCTATACATAAGGAAACGTCATTCTTACTTTTCGTTATGTGTTTTACAAAAACTACAGCAGCCCTGGAAAAAAAATAGAGATTCAGACACAGAAGATCTATGGAAGCAGATTAGAGTGAGTTAATTTTGGTGACAAATCCACTTTAATAGTAAAAAGCTTCACTGTGTGGTACATGCACCCACCCCAGTGAACACACGGAGCGCTAAAGAATATTTCCACTTACCCTCACTGTAGGTGTGAGGTGTATTATTCTAGAATGAAAACTACTAAGAGAGTAGTATATCCAGTATAGTGTATATGATTATATATATATATGTATATATATATTGTACACTCATATGTAGCTGAGCCACATAGGAAAGTGCATATATATGTGGATGCAATCTGCTAAACTTATTCAGAGCCCATAAACCTCGGCTCTGAGTTAGTAGCGTTATGTGTCTATAATGGAGACCCGTACACCGTTCTTTGTAGCAGGAACAAGGCAGTGGAGTCTCCAAGTGGGATAAAAATGCATTTGCCGCCATAGAGGCTTTTTCAATCGGTTTAACTACCCAGGTATACCTTCCTGCTCTTAAATGTTCAACATTTTCTTATTGGTCCATTTCGTGCGTGGTACGCCATCTTCAGTGATGTAATTCATTCCTTGTTGGTGATATCAATCTGAATCACCTGAACCAGAAATGGTGCGGCGAATTCTCCGTCACTTCCGGTTATCGGTCCACACCATCTTTGTAGAGGGAAACATTCCAGGAAAGTTGATGTATTAGTGTATACATATTTCGTCCATCAAAAAGTCTCATATACACAGAAATAGTGTACTCAGAGGATTGCATATATGTAAATAAAGACAAAGAGAGAATGAGAATTAATGAATGTTATTTTAAATACATATTGACAAAGATTAATATAACCATAGAATTCTGCCTAAAAATAATTACTAAAGGGGTATTAAAATGTATATAAAATACATGTATAAAATGCTAACAACTAAGAAAATATTAAAATATGGCATTGAAAATTATAAGAAATGGCAAAGCTCAAAATCACTGTTAAGACCACGAGGTAGCATAGTTTTTAAATTAAAAACCCACCTCATTTCTGTTTTGGCCCAGGATTTTAATTAAATCTTAACCTCTCCAATTGGGTAGGATTCTTTGAATGCCCATACATTTCAAATGACTTTGGTCTTCATTCTGGGTATTTTTAATGTGCAGTGACAGACTGTTTTTCAAACCCACTTCTTAGATTTCTAATATGCTCTTGAATGGGAGTGTTTAAAGTGCGGATTGTCCTACCCACATAAGAGACCACAAGGGCAAATGATCATATAAATAACTTTCTTGGAGTAGCATGTAATGTGTTTTTATATTAAAATTCTCATTAGGATTCTGTGGATGGTTGAAATGAGAGATTTTTTTGTTTAGTGTTTAACCCCTTAAGGGCCAAACTTCTGGAGTAAAAGGGGTTAAGGTATCCTGGGCCAAAACAGAAATGAGGTGGGTTTTTAATTTAAAAACTATGCTACCTCGTGGTCTTAACAGTGATTTTGAGCTTTGCCATTTCTTATTTTCTATGCCATATTTTAATATTTTCTTAGTTGTTAGCATTTTATACATGTATTTTATATACATTTTAATACCCCTTTAGTAATAATTTTTAGGCAGAATTCTATGGTTATATTAATCTTTGTCAATATGTATTTAAAATAACATTCATTAATTCTCATTCTCTCTTTGTCTTTATTTACATATATGCAATCCTCTGAGTACACTATTTCTGTGTATATGAGACTTTCTGATGGACGAAATATGTATACACTAATACATCAACTTTCCTGGAATGTTTCCCTCTACAGAGATGGTGGACCGATAACCGGAAGTGACGTGACGGGGAATCTGCCGCGCCATTTCTGGTTCAGGTGATTCAGATTGATATCACCAACAGGGAATGAATTGCATCACCAGGACATGGAGGATTGGTGATTTGCATACAATGCACGAAACGGACCAACAAGAAATGTTCTGAACATTTAAAAGCAGGAAGGCATACCTGGGTATTTATACCGATTGAAAAGGCAGCTATTGCGGCGAAACACGCCTCGGGAGCTCCTTGGGAGGTTTTTATACTTTACATATAAACATAGAATGTGACGGAAGATAACCATTCGGCCCATCTAGTCTGCCCAATAGTTCAAAATGCTTAATACTTAATTAGTCCCTGGCCTTATCTTAAGTCTAGGATAGCCTTATGCCTATCCCACGCATGCTTAAACTCCTTTACTGTGTTAACCTCTACCACTTCAGCTGGAAGGCTATGCCATGCATCCACTACCTTCTCAGTAAAGTAATACTTCCTGAAATTATTTTTAAACCTCTGCCCCTCTAGGTTAAGACTATGTCCTTTTGTTGTGGTAGTTCTCCTTCTTTTATATGAGTTTGTTTTGTAATAAACCTAGATATTTTTATCCCACTTGGAGACTCCACTGCCTTGTTCCTGCTACAAAGAACGGTGTATGTGTCCCCATTATAGACACATAAGTCTACTAACTCAGAGCCGAGGTTTATGGGCTCTGAATAAGGTGAGCAGACTGCATCCACATATATATGCACTTTCTTCCATTTTTGTGACTTATTACGTTAGATCCTCTTTTAAGCACATCAAAGATTCAGAGGAAGAGGGACAGAGTCAACGTAGTACACAGCCACTTAAGTGATCTGAGCTGGTTCTATGTGGCTCAGCTACATGTGAGTGTACACTATATATATATATATATATATATATATATATATATATATATATATATATATATATATATATATATATATATATATATATATGTATATATATATATATATATATATAATCATATACACTATACTGGATATACTACTCTGTTAGTAGTTTTCATTCTAGAATAATTCACCTCACACCTACTGTGAGGGTAAGTGGAAATATTCTTTAGCGCTCCGTGTGTTCACTGGGGTGGGTGCATGGACCACACAGTGAAGCTTTTTACTATTACCATGAGGGATATTCACACATAGGTGGTAGCAGCTTGTCTATTTTTATAATACTGTACCTATTGTTTAAACGCCTATTACACTACTTATTGCAAATCCACTTTAAGCTTACTGGCCAGATCCTCATCTACTGCTTTATCAATTTCTCTATCTCAAGCTATGATTTTTTTTTTTGTAAAATTTTGTAACAAAAAAAATATATGTAATATTCATTCTTTACTGCTCTTGAAGGTTTGGAATTCTTCTTTTGAGACCTAATGTGGATATGAGCAAAGAGAGGTAAGTTAAATCAGTACTTCCACGTAAGTGTTCTTCTCAAACTGGGAAAGTAATCTACAAGGTAATATGGCCCATGGAGAGGTAGAATGGGAACTCAAACCACCAGATGTCCGTTGGGATGATGTAGAATGGGAACTGGATCACCACTCCATTGGGATGAGGTAGAATGGGAACTCAAACCACCAGATGTCTGTTGGGATGATGTAGAATGGGAACTGGATCACCACTCCATTGGGATGAGGTAGAATAGGAACTCATACCATCAGATGTCCGTTGGCATAAGGTAAAATGGGAACTGCATTAGAGCTCCATTTGCATGAGGTAGAATGGGAACTCAAACCATCAGAGCTCCATTTGGATGAGGTAGAATGAGAACTGGATCAGAGCTCTATTGGGATGAAATTGTGTTGAGTGATACCAGCTCCATTTTTAATCATTGCTATAGTGAATTCACACTTTGCTGGTAGATGAGCGTTCTAATACCAACTGGGTGTTCTTCGTAATGTAGCCACTTTGTATAGAGGTAGTTCATATACCCAGCTAGGTAGAACTTTGTACAAAAAAGGGGGTAGTTGATTTAAATAAGATGCTAAGCACCCACACAACTGTAGCTAAGGAAGGTGTGAATATGGCTGCAGGGGCAGGATCTATACACCAGCGAATGTCCATTTAAATGTAAGAATCATTTAGAAATCCCTCAGTGTTAATAGAATTGTAAGTTTATGGGAAATGTAAAAAATTCTGCTTATGAGTCGGTTCATTTCCTGGTAGAATATTCTGTGAATTACCTTTCTCTTGCATTCACCATGTCTACTGATTCCAGCTGTCTGGAGATTCTAGAGAGAACACATGTGACTGGCTGCCAGTTCGGGTATGTACATTCCTCAGGGATTCATTTTGGGAAACGTTGTTGTATTGGAATTGTTTTTTTGTTTTTGTTTTTTTACATTTAGGTTTTTTTTTTGTTCAGAAAGAAGCGCCTATTCTTTAAATACTGGCACCAGGACCAACTCACACATTGTGTACTAAAGCTGATACGAGCGGCTGTTGTTTTCCAAAAGTGTAAGTTCAAAAGATCTTTAGATAGAAATGTCGCTATAATGCATTACATATTCATTTAATAAACAACCTAGAATAATCTGTGATTGGCTAGTCTAGACAGGCAAGTAGCGTAGAATTAATCACTGGCCAGATAGACTAGAATACACTAGCCAAGCTTGAATGTCCACCATTGGGCAGTATAGAATGCACAGCACTAGCCAACCTTGAATGTCCACCATTGGGCAGTATAGAATGCACAGCACTAGCCAAGCTTGAATGTCCACCATTGGGCAGTATAGAATGCACAGCACTAGCCAACCTTGAATGTCCACCATTGGGCAGTATAGAATGCACAGTACTAGCCAACCTGGAATGTCCACCATTGGGCAGTATAGAATGCACAGCACTAGCCAACCTTGATTGTCCACCATTGGGCAGTATAGAATGCACAGCACTAGCCAAGCTTGAATGTCCACCATTGGGCAGTATAGAATGCACAGCACTAGCCAACCTTGAATGTCCACCATTGGGCAGTATAGAATGCACAGCACTAGCCAACCTGGAATGTCCACCATTGGGCCGTATAGAATGCACAGCACTAGCCAACCTTGATTGTCCACCATTGGGCAGTATAGAATGCACTGACCTAGCCAGCCTGGGATGTCCACCATTGGCCAGTATAGAATGCACTGACCTAGCCAACCTTGATTGTCCACCATTGGACAGTATAGAATGCACTGACCTAGCCCATTGGGCAGTATAGAATGCACAGCACTAGCCAGCCTTGATTGTCCACCATTGGGCAGTATAGAATGCACAGCACTAGCCAACCTTGAATGTCCACCATTGGGCAGTATAGAATGAACAGCACTAGCCAGCCTGGAATGTCCACCATTGGCCAGTATAGAATGCACAGCACTAGCCAGTCTGGAATGTCCACCATTGGCCAGTATAGAATGCACAGCACTAGCCAGCCTTGAATGTCCACCATTGGGCAGTATAGAATACACTGACCTAGCCAGCCTGGAATGTCCACCCCTGGCCATTATAGAATGCACAGCACTAGCCAGCCTGGAATGTCCACCATTGGCCAGTATAGAATGCACAGCACTAGCCAAGCTTGGATGTCCACTGTGACGGTCTGCTAAGGTATCACCATCACGGATAACCCTTTTCAAAGAAAAAAACAGAAAATAATTCACACAGGCAAAATATCACTGATATAGAATAACCCCACACACATGAGCCAAGGCTTAATGCTTGGTGAAGACTGATTTTAATGGAAGTAGAGGCATCAAATTTATACAGTCCATAAACTCCTCCTCTGTGACTGAGAAATAATTGAGTCACTAAATATACTCAATTATCTCCAAGTATAGAAAAACATACAATTTTGCAACACCCCAAAAGTCACATCCTGGATGGCTTGAATCAGGGCGAACAATATATGCAAAAATCACCCATATCCGTTCTGTAGTTTTGAATCGCTGTCACAGGGACGTTCTGACCGGTGTGCTACGAGGAGTTAACCCAAAATAGTTCCATGGAAATGGTGGCAGGAGCCGCTCTCCATTCGTCGGGTTTTGTATGAAAACCACAAAAGATAGAGGAAAACTGGTTCATGTAGAATGCTCCCCATGTTCGTTAGTCTGTAACTCCCGAACGCCGTTCGTATAGGTGAACTGGAACAAGCCGTGGGTCCATGGTGTTTGTGGGAGTGCCTGGCCGAAGTTAGTTCCAGGCACTTAATGACCAAGACCCGCTGCCAGCTTTCGGGAGACAAGATGGTAGCCATCCAATATTTCAGCCACCTGCGTTCGAATGTACGAAATTGCAGCCACCCAGTGGAGCATTCTATTAATGACTTCCTTTGCCGTTTTTGTACAGATACATAATGTTTCATGTTCTAATTGGTTTCTGTTGTGGTCTCAGTTCGAGAACCAAACAAAATAAACAAAATGACTATAAACACGAATGAAAGTGATGGGGATATTCCTTCACACTGCTCCCCCCTTGCTCACAGCTCTGGCAGACATGGTTGGACCCTTTCGGGTCAACTTGGGACTGTCCAGGTAGTATACTGTATGAGTTAAGACACCAACTCGGTCTGTCGGTGTCAGAATCATATCCTGACAAGCTAGACTTTTTGTTCTGTTGATTGTTTCTTTAAAACCAAGTTCCTGCACTGAATATGTTTTACCACTAGTGGCTTAGCAAAGTACTAGTACCACACCTGAACGATGAGGCCTGGACGCTAGGTAGGGTGCATCGCCTTCCGCGACCTGCCCGGTTTGCTGCAGACACACCTAAAGACATCTGTAAGGGATCCTGTTATCCCTGTAGTACCGATCCTTGCAGCTTCTCCGGAACTCTGAGCAGAATAATAAAGTAGTGATTATAGCTCCCAATTCCCCCAAACATGAGTCGAGGCTTCATGAAGGGGTAAAACGATCTGATTTATTGATGGCCAAACTTAGCCTTTTATGATAGTCTCCCAGCAAGGAAACTCCCACAGGGGACCTTGTGGGAAACTGTGACAAAATATACAGAACCATTCAGTTTACAGTACAATTATTAAACACACCCACAGTAACAGTGCAACCCCTCCTCTCTATCCTGGAGATAATTAACTTAAGTGGTTGGATAGAACCTAATTATCTCCAGGTAGAGAAAAACATGTCCTTTTTACATTTGGACTAAACTGTATTAAAATCCATAACTTATATTTCGCCTAACGTAGTCTCCAGGTTCCACATACCCTCAGCTGGGATCTGAGCGCACAATATAGACGAATATCGCTCAGATCCCACGAACACAGTTCTCAATATCGTCGAGTAAAGTTTTTAGTTCACCGGTTGTTCGGGGAATTGAATCCGAAAAGAGTTCCATAACTGCAGCTACCTGGGGTCGGTCTAGCTCGTATAGTAGGAAAGTCCCGAACGGTAAGGTGTTTGTGAGTTATTAAACGAATGGACTGGGACTTGGTACACTTCCCCAGTGTGCAGCTAAATAAGTGTCTGAAAACAGTTCCAGAGGGTCGACGACCATCTACCGCTGAGCGTTCGATTTTAAAATGTCGACCGCCACGTCATCGGTAAACGAACGCGGACCACCAAGCCTTTCCTCAATTACCTCTGTGGCAGTCCTGAAACCTGAGGTGGGAATGGCTAAATTTAAAGAATGGGGCCTGCACCACGCTATGGAACATTCCTCGCCACAGAGGCCTCCACCGAAAAAGATGAGACCTGAATGGACATTAGCCGGTTCCCCAGCAAAGCTAAATGCCACGGCCACTGATTGAGCAACAGCCAGAGTTCCTTCGAATATCCATAGATCACTTGAGTATCACTAAATGTTTGTTGTTTTTTTGTTAACCGTTTTTCCCATGAATACCGAAAGTCCAAGCTATATGTCTTGAATGTCTTGCAAACTGTTAGTGGTGGAAGTCCAATGATTAGGGGAAATTAGGGCGCATGGCAGTAGGTAGACCCCTGAGATCGCTAGAACTTAGATAGCACAGCTACAGGGTTCCCAGGTGCCGGACATTAGCAGTTCTTACCACTTACCAACAATATTTGGCGCCCATAACAATATTCACCTCCCCGAATTAAATGGATGTGCAGCCTGCACACCCTGGTGGAACCCCTTGTCACTCCACATAGACCTGAAATAACTGCCTTGGGTGTGGCAGAGTAGCACGGCATAGAGGTGTATCGTCCGGGCCCTCCAATTATTTAATTAGCTTAGGATAAAGGAAACCTCGGCTCATTAACAAATCCTTGTCCCTTGACCTTTCCAACCCCCAGCCACGGGAGTAAAGGTGTATAGCCAGGATTGGCCCATGGCTGCCATCGCCACCAGACTTCATTCACTTTAATATATTCAAGCAATGGGAATCGGTATTGTTTATAGTACTATTTTTAACATCCAAATCTACGTTTCTAGTGTTCAGCATAGTTTCAATCTCCTTTCTAAGATCCAAACGATAGGCAGATATCATGACCTGAATTGGCGCATAACACGCAATGCAAACACCCCAGCTCACTGTCACCTTCCCAAGAACTGGTCCCGAAGACAGAAATCACTGCTCAGCTACGAGCAGACAAACTCTGCATTCTTGCGGTGAGAGAATACACCAGCCTATGGGAAGGTGGGACACATAGAAACAAGGCTAATACACATTAAGCTGATCCACAATAATTACAATGGCGTCCTCATTTAAAATTCTCTCCCTTAACGTAAAGTGTCTCAACAGTCCACACAAACGCCTAGCCATCCAAGAAATGGTGAAATCCAAAGCAGCTATAGTGTGTTTCCAGGAAACTCACTTACGCTCCCGTCAACTCCTCCAACTCAACACTGAAAAGTACCCCCAAGCCTTCCACGCCTATTCCCCAAGCAAATCTAAAGGGGTCTCTGTTTACTTCCACACAGTCTGGGTCTTCCAAGAAACCAAAAGATATACAGATGCATTGGGTAGACTGTTAATATTGGTGGGATCTCTGAACGGTTTTCTAGTTACAAGTGTATCCATCTATCCCCCAAATGAGGACCAAATAACCTTTATTCGCCAAGCCCTGAAAATAATTGACACCCTGAAACCGTGGCACGTCTTTATCTGTGGCGACTTTAACTGTGCACTAAATCCAGAGTTGGATATCAGGAGGGAACAGAATAGACACCCCACAGCGCAATCAGGCACTAAGGGAACCCTTTTTTCCAACTTGCTCTTCGAGTGTAATCTGTATGACACATGGCGTTCCAAGTACCCAAAAGACAAAGACTATACCTACTTCTCCCCAGTCCATATGACTTATTCACAAATAGACCTTTGTGTGGTGGGCAACACGACCCTGCCTAATATGGTGGAGGTGACCATAGGGTTGAGGACGTGGTCAGACCATGCACCAGTCGTGGTTACATTCGCAGCACTTTACCCAGCCCGGGGAAGTGGAGACTAAACGAAGGGCTGTTAGGCGTGGCCCCGATGTTGACCGTAGTAACTAAGGAAACCTCTGTGTACTTTAAGGAAAATACCTCAACTGATATCCCACTTAGCACGGTTGGGTAGCACACAGGGTGGTGATGAGAGGGGTGTTCATCAGAGAGGGCGCAAAAGGAAAAAAAAAATCACTATAGCAACACAAAACATTGTTACTGAGGGGACTAACAGAGTTGGAAACACAGAATAAATCAATGCTGTCCAAAACACTCTCCAACATATAGGAGAACTTCAGAACGAGCTACGCCCTCTATCCCTGCTTACGACCATTGGATGAGATCCTTGAGACTAACACACTACACTTTCCCTCCAAAGGCAAACAATACAACTCAGCGGACATCGTCAATGAACTAGAACAGTACT